TTCGATATTTAACAAAGGTAAAGCCATGTCTAATGTTTGACCCTCATGGTTCACTCACTGTACATCCATAAGAACACTGATTAAAATGCATCTTTAAAGTCCAAGTTCAACAATTCTCAAGAAAAGGAGAATATATATTTCATAAATGAAATACATGAAAATGTTCAACTTTTACTCTAAGCAAAGAAATGTCCTGCTTTGCTCTTATTTGGTTTGGGGTTGGGGAGCAGTAAAGGTAAAATTACGAAACCCATTGTTGGAAAAGTTACAGTTAATCCAACAAACACATCACATACCCCTCTGGGCACGGGAATCAGATACAACCCCACTGAAAAGCCATTTGTCAAGAGCCATCAGTTGTCATGAAAATGCCCACACCCTTCAAGCCAGCAATTCTATTTCCTTGAATTCTCATCATTAAAGTAATTCAAAAGAAAATACATATCCACAGGCATGACAAGGCTCATTATAGTGTCTATATTCTGGAGAAATATTGGAAATAAAGTGTCCAGAACAGACAGTTAATGTCACATCAACTCAATGGAAATTTTAAGCATCGACTGAAAATAATATCAAAATGAATCATCTCTTTGGCAGTTGCTGGTTGGAGCAGGGGAGGGGTGTTTTAGGATTTGGGGAGCTGCTTGCTTTACATTTTTTCCCAAAGTTCCTTCATCTATGAAGTCCACCCCTGGACCTTTCTGAATCTCTTAGGTTCTTTTGTCTTTTGATCCACAAACACCACGAACCATTCTGATCTCATGTCATGTGCTCATGTACCTTCGATTTTAACAGGCTAAAGTCATCTTTTTCCAGATGCTTACTTTATAAATACTCTATCACCATGACTATTATATGTCAAAACAGGATTATGAAAAATGTCAAATTTTAAGATAACATTTGTAAAGGACACATAATAATATACCAGGAAATTTATATTATCTAAAGTGAAGGGAAAGTGGAAAAATGATTTCCATGCTATTACTGCAACCATATTAAATTATACCTATGGCTATGGACTAGAGAAAAACAGCACAAAAGAAAAATAAAGACATTAAAGTGGTGAGGATTTGTGGGGGTTTTTTCTAATACGCTTTCGTTTTATGTCAAATTTTATTTAACTATGAAGTTGTTTTCTGTGAAATAAAAGTTAAAATTAATTTTTCTAGCCTCTCTCCTGGAAAAGATTATGACTTTTAGAAATAAGCCTAGCTTCTTGGAATTAAAGTGTAAGTGGATTTAGATACCATTGGATGGATAGAAAGGAAGCAAAACCCTACACAATTAACAGCAATAAATCTGTGGCACTCAATGAAGAGCGCCCTCAAAATCCTTATTCAGAGTCTGTGGCTCATTGATGACCAGCATCAGCAAGCTTGTTAAAAACGCAGAAGAGGGACGGCCGGTTAGCTCAGTTGGTTAGAGCGCAGTGCTCATAACACCAAGGTTGCTGGTTCGATCCCCACATGGGCCACTGAGTTGCGCTCCTCACAACTATATTGAAACAACTACTTGACTTGGAGCTGATGGGTCCTGGAAAAACACACTGTTCCCCAATAAAAATTGTTTAAAAAAAAAAAAGGGTCCCCAATGACAAATATCTTTTAAAAAACCAACCAAACAAACAAATGCAGAAGACGCTTCTTCTGGGCCCAGTGCAGACCCACTGAATCAGAACTTGCCCTTTAACTTGGGCCCCAGTTCAGTCCTATGCTCATGTACACACTGAAGCTTGAGGCACACTGACCTAAATCAGTTCTATGCTCTTTGAGATTATGACCCAGCTGCTGCCTAGTGTGGCATAAGTATAGCTAAGTTTCTAGAAACCAGTAGAGCTAAGTTTCTTGAAGGAATGAGATGTTAATAAGAATCAGTTCTTGAATTGACCTTTCAAAGGTATTTTAACAAGGATAAAAAGAAAGACGAAAGAGAGGAAATAGATATGAGCTTCCTAGAACAGAAGACGTGGTGTTTGCGAGAATAAAACCCTTCTGGTGAGGGCTGCAGGACATCTAAGGGAAAGCTTTCGGGTAGCGTGTGATACCCACTGTGACGGGGTCCTCCAGAGCTGTGTCCATCTCACCGAACTTCAAGTAGATGTTTCCTCGGCAAACTCGCCACAGCAGCCTCTCAAAGGAAGGCATCCTCTCCCTGTTGATCACGCCAGCCGTGAACCTGGTGTGAACAGTCAGAAGAGAAAACATTGACTGAGGCTCAGGAAGCGGGATGCAGGGAGGAGGTCCTCTAAGACGTGAAAATGTGCTGCCCATGAGATGAAGAACCGCTTCCCTCTGAGCAGCAGGTGACGACACAACTGTACCTGGCCGGGGTCACAAGGCCACTCTGCATCCCAGCCCCAATTTGCTTCAAGTCCCTTGGGACCTCCTGTTTTCTTTGGCAGGTTGAGGTTTCTTTCACCATCCCAGTACTATGTGTTCAATTATTTGCAATTAAAAATATGTATGAGGGACTCTTCATTATAGCATTGCAGCTAAAAGAAGCAAATGTTCAAAATGCTCAATGGTCTCTGTGCATTTTTACAAACAATGTATTAAGAATGAAACATAGACATGGATTTCTAAACACCTCTACTTTTATCATCATCCAGGTATCTAGGTAATTTCTGACCCAAATTTTACATATTAACCTTAAGGTGGTTACTTTCATTGGTCTATTCTTTTAAAGGGATGTTGCACCTGTATTACCTTTTGATTAAATATTGTCAATAAATATTCTCTTTGCACTTCAAATTCAATGCCTACTGCTCCCAATTGCAGGCCCTCAAGTGTCTATTGAATTAAAAAAGCCAGAACTCCAAAACTCACCACTTTGACCAAGTCATCCATTTTATGTGGACACTGAATAAAATCCCACCATTTTGAATCACCACACATTTTGATGCCTATAATCACATTGTGTTACCATGGCTTGTGACTGACTTGATTGTATAACTATCCCATTTCTTTTCAAACTCCAAATCTATTTTATTATCAAATCAATATTTCAGAGTTGGGGGAGGAATAAAAACATATCCCATAAGCCTTGTTCCACAGCCAGCGAACAGCTGAGGAAACCCATTTGAACGATTATCCTGGGGACAATACAAACACTGCCCCCTTCAGGCTCAAGAACATCAGTGTCACCATTAAGGAAACACTACCTGCAACTCCAACAATCTAATAAGCTTACACTTGGGTTTATTATTGTGTGGAGGCCTTATATTCATGTGAAATAGTCCCAATTCCAATGGCTAGTTGTTCATTCATTCAGACACTCAGGGAAATCTATCATATGCCAGCTACGGATCAGGCACCCATCTACACATAACTTTCAGAGCACAGTTACACTAACCCCAGCTTTCCAGTCATGTACGCAGGCATAGCTCTTAATTCCAGGAGCCCAGAAGTGTCTTCAGTAAAGAAATCGTCGGGTAAGTTGGTTTCCGTCTGAAAGTCAAACAATCACTATTTTCACTTAAATGGGTTTAAACTACCTTAAAAGCACCCTACACCTCAAGGTTTCTTTTTTCTGTTTTTAATGAAGCTTTAATTTTCCACAAATAGTTAACAGAATTCAAAAAGTAGAGTGCTCCTTGTCAGATCAAAAAGTTTCCCCAATCTCCTCCTACCAAAACCCCAAATTGGCTCAAACTAACTGTTCTGATTTGTTCTGACTTCCACTTCTGGCACATATTTTTTAATGAGCATCATGATATGTTTGCATTCAATTCTACCAGCACCATAGTTATTCCACCCATAATAGTCTCCCACTCCCCAATGGTCTAGCCATGGCTTAGAAACAGAGTGTTTTGTTCATATTCCAAACCAGCCAGATTGCAAAATAAAAATTTGAGGCTCTGAGGGGAAAGGGCCCTTTACGAAACAGTCCCCAAATAATGACCTCAAAGAAGTCCTGGGTTTTCTTCAGGAGATATTTGAGTTCAGTCAGTTCTAGGAAGCTTTTCTTCAATGCCTGCTGGTTCTGGTTGGCTTCCTGTAACTCTCCTTCCAGTTTTTCTAGAACAGTCTACAGAGGAGGGAGAAAGAAGATAAGCCAGGCAGAAAGTGCTACGACATATTAACCATAACAGATAACCAAATGTTAAAGAGGTGTTCAGTGCATCATACTGCAGCTTAAAGTTGAATGGCCTGGTCAGTCATAAACGCAACATGATTGCAGGGCTATAAGCCAAAGCTTTAGCCATACACTCTCTTGAGTTTCATCATCAAATGGGGTGGATTAAAAATCAAACTGGGGGAATGAAAAAGGCAGCTTCATGAAGANCAGGGAGTGACCCACCTCCGTCTGTAAACTTACTTCCATGTGCCATTTCTGAACATGGGCTGGACACTCCAAGAAGAGCCGAAGATGTTGAAGGCCTTGGAGAAGCAGTCGTTGTAAATCAAACCCGTGTAAATGGAGAAGATGCCCATGAGGAGGATGAGATAGCGCCCGTGGAAGAAGGTGTTCCAGATCTGACCTCAGGGAGACAGAGAAGGTGACTGTCAGCAAGCGCCGTTACAGTCGCCACAGCCAGGCACCAGGCCCTGGACAGAGGGGCCATGTGACGCGGCAGGCGTCAAGGTGATCCAAATAACCGAGCACACACATCGTGATTTTCCTGAGCTTCTGTAGGTGAGTCAGAAATGTCCTAGAATGATAGTTGTTATTATGGAAATAAAACATATAAGCCTTGGGCTGGCCGAGTGGCTCAGTTGGTTAGAGCACAAGCTCTGAGAAACAGGGTTGCCGGTTCAGTTCCCACATGGGCCAGTGAGCTGCACCTGAGCTGAACTGCTGCTGAGCTGCCAATGGGTAGCAGGATGGCTCAGCTGGTGAGAGCACATGCTCTTAACAAGGTTGCCGGTTTGACTCCCGCATGGGATGGTGGACTGCGCCCCCTGCAACTAAGACTGAACACGGCACCTTGAGCTGAGCTGCACCCTCCATGACTAAGATTGAAGGACAACAACTTGACTTGGAGCTGATGGGTCCTGGAAAAACACAATGTTCCCCTTCCCCAGTTCCCCAACAAAAATCTTTTTTAAAAAAACCAAAAAACAAAAACCAAACCAAAAAAAAAACCCATATAAGCCTTATATTCTTTGATTCAGCCTTGGTTAGAAAATGTAATGAAGCAGAAACTGAGGCCTCACCTGTCAATGAAGAGTCTTGAAGGGGAGGGCTATTGTCTCAAGTGCTTCCATGAGCTGGTCTCATATGGCTGCTAAATTTTACAGCAAGTCCAAACCTACACTCATTTTGGGTCTTCAGTATAAGCTTGAATCTCTAAGTACATCCACTGAGGAGAGAGTGTGCCTTTCCCTAATACTGGCTGATGTGTAGCAATCATTCTCAGAACTGCTGAAGTGTAACTTGGAGACTTCGAATATTTATTACAGGAAACTACATCTATTAAAATGCTTGTCATGGAAAACTTTACCGGTCATAGGTTGATTTTTCCATTAACCTTGCTTATGATTAACTCACTACGACATCACTGAACTAGCTCTAGTTAAGTCAACCTGTAAAAAAGGATTGCAGATATTCTTATAATTCAGAACATAGCTAAGGGCGTGTTTCCACTTTGGAAAATATACTCACAGTGGACATAAAGTCACGCTAACTGATTAACTCGGAAACAATGCAGTAAAAGTGAAGATGCGCTATTTGGGATTTCTCAGTGTTTCTCAAAAACACTGATCATGCGCTTGTGGGAAAAGGGCTCTGCCATGAAAAAGTATTGTGATATTTTAAGTGATTAAAAAAGGCTATATAGAAATATGCACTATTTGATCCCAGTTTTTGAAATTTAATATCTGTGTATATGCCCAGAGGAAACAAATGGAAAGAAAAAGCATTGTGATTTTTCTCTACGTAGATTGTTGTATTTTCCCAGTTTTCACAATGAACATATATTGCTTTTATAATCAAAGAAAACAAATCAATGTTAGGAAAACAGGAAAGATGAAGGTCTCATCAAGCAATGGGCAAAAAACGAAAATGCTGAAAGGAACTGCACCAAACCATCCAAACCATTTACCTTTGGCCACGAGTTTTTATGTTGCATGTTGGCCCTTTCTCACTTTCTGTCTTTCCCTTAACTTTTAATAAAAACGTGTTATTTCTATTGTGAAAACAACACACACATGTTTAATGCTCTACTTATAACTTCGAGGAAATGAGGGGAGGCATTTGATGGACACCCACCTCATTGTCCGTCTTCTGAGCGAGCAAGCGTCTCTCATTTAGGACCATCCAAAGGGCCGCCAGGAGCATCACAGCTCCGTGACCACAGTCGCCAAACATCACAGCAAAGAGGAAGGGGAACGTGATGACAGTGTAGGGAGCTGTAGAGGTGAGACCCACAACAGCCTGAGTTTTCCCAGCAATCCTTTGGGCCCTCCATTAAAGATTTCTCTATCACGCTCCTTGATCCACGGGCCGGCTCCCTTGTGTCTTTCTTATTCTGTCTTCTCTCAGCATCCCCACCCCTGACACTTGCTTAGCTCCCACATACATTAGCTCATCAATGAGCAAACATTATTATTCCCCACTTGATAGATGAGCTAACTGAGCTTTGGAGCAGTTGAGTGACTTGCCCATGATCACAAAGTTTAATGGGATTTAAAAATCAGTTTTTTAAGTGCTTTCTATACCCTTTCCATCACCATCTTTGGTCTTTTTCTACACCATTCACATGTACAACATACCTCCAGCAGTGACTCACAGGACCCTGAACCTATGGGGCCCCTGCATTAGGGGTCACAGGTTAGATTGAGACTCAGGCTAGAGAAAAACAGCACCAAGAACTGCTTGGCTAAAGGGCATCTGGTCTACCCCTTTATTTTTACAAAGCAGGCTACCAATATCATACAGTTTATGTCACTAAGAATCCAGTCTTCTGACTCCATGTTCTGTGTGCTCACATCTCGCCCACATAACCACGGGACCGGGAAAATGCCTAGAGATGACCCTCCCTGAATTGGAGGAAACAAGAACTGAATTGGGCTGCCTGATAAGGCTGCAGTTTAAGGGAGAACAGGTGAAATCTTGACAAAAAACACATTTTTCACTTCACCTTTTACATGAGAGAATGTAGGGCAATAGGAAACCAAACAGGATTTTAGGAAAGTCACAGTTTTAAGCAATCCACCTCCTAGGCCACCACAGGCGTCAATCTGCTCAGGTGTGCAACATATCAGATCCTTTACCTGGGTTTATCTCCCGGTAACAGCCTACGCCATACGCATCTACAATATTCTGGAAGCCAGCTGTGAATTTATTGGTCCTGTTAAATGTGGGGGGAGCTGTTGTCGATTGAACTGTTGTCAAGATAGGGGCCATGGAGGAGCCACTCAGTTCCTGCAAAAAGAACATGACAAACATAAGGAAGAGAGCCCTGGGCAAGGCATTGGCCCATGGGTCACAGTCCAACTCCCGCCATCACTTACTGGGTAAACGTGGGACAATCTCTTGACCTCTCTAAGACTCATGACCTCTTCTGTAGAAGTTAATACCTTCCTACTACTTACCTAACTTATCTTACAGGAGAGTTGTCAAGAGAGTAGAGTTCCTCCTGACTCTCCGGCAATTTCCATGCTCCTCTTGAAATGTATGTTACGCGCCTGTTCTAGGCCTCCATTCTCCCTTTCTCTCTACTTACTACCTCAAGAGTACATCCACTTCCCTAATTTCATCCCTACCTTCCAAATGGCCCTGACCCTCTCCCGAATTTCAATTCTTTTTTAATCGCTTGCCATAGCTTTCAAACTCTCATGTCTCAGCAACCCCACCTAATGCAGGAGCCTAGAACTGAAGTCATCCACTTGCCCCAAAGCCAGGCCCTCGCTTGACCTCCATGCTCTATTCTCCGAATTCCTGAAACTTTGGAATCAGCAGACTTATCCTTTCTCCTGATTCAATCCTTCTCCACATCTGGCTAACCATTCCTTTCAAATCCTTCTCCTTCCCATGTGCACAGCCACTGACCGAGCCCTCAAGCCTCACCATCTTCCACCAGTCTCCTTCCCTTCTATTTATCTTATGCTCCAGACCGCGTAATCCTTCTTCTAGTAAAGCAAAACACACAAAAAGCACTCTAGTTATGTTACCCTCCTACCCAAAAATCCTCAGAGACTTCCTGATAACTAAAGAACAAGACCAGAACACTTTCATCTTCTAATTGAGACTTCTTTACAATATTGACTTATCATTCATTCACACCTTCACCCTCACTGCCTCTCCATGGAAATCAGCCAACTCCACACTAACCATCTCCCTTCTTCACTTACCCAAGTTTTAACCATTTTCCAAGCTCACCCCCAAGGAACCTTCTGGTTGCTCCAAACTCCAACAGTACTTACCACGTGCACACTCAGCAGGATCAGCACTGGCTCCCATCCTACTACCAGTGCCACAAGGTAGGTATCACAGCCCCACTTTCCAGATGAGGAAAGTGCGGTACAGAGACGTTAAGCAACTTCCCCAAGGTGAAACCGCAAGTAGAGGAGGACTGTAGCGTCCTTTTTTTTTTTAAGATTTTTACTGGGGAATTGGGGGGATGGGAACAGCGCTGGGGAATTGGGGGAAGGGGAACAGACAAGTTTCTGTCCTTTTGTTCTTCAGTCTAGTTGTGGAGGACATTGCTTCACTGGCCCAAGTTGGCACCATCATTGCGCTCCTCCCAGGTGAAGCAGATCAGTCGCTGGCTTCTGGACGGTTGCTCACGGCAGCTGCTGGCCGCTCACGCTGGCTGCTGGCTACACACGGTAGCCCATGGCAACCCACTGCAGCAGGGACTGCAGCCTACGCGGTCGCCAGTGACTGACTCACGGCAGCCCAGCTACAGGTCGAGCTGTTGTTCAGCATCTTAGCTGTAGAGGGCAGTAGTGTCACTGGCCCTCATATGTTGGATCCGAACCGGGGCCCTCTGGCGTCCCAAGCCAGCTCTTAACCATCGCCACTTGGCCAGCCTGTGTCCATTTTTTTTTTTTTTTTTTTAGCACGCCCTCCAGCAGCTGAAGTAATGCTTGGCATAGGGTATTTTTTGCTTATCGGTGATAATGATAGCCATCCCTCTGCACTTGTCTCCTTATCTCCTACCAACATAAGGCTTTCTACTCCTATCTGGGGAAAGACTTTTGATATTTCAGGGGTTGAAGAGACAGGAGAAATAGCCCTAAGCAGCCTTGTGGAAGTCTGACCCCTTCGTGATTACAGGATGACACTGATTAATGAAATCCCTGCATCAGGACAATGCTTCACGCTCCACACTGCAGGGGAGGGTTTCTAAGCTGCAAGCTGGATCATGTCCCCCGGCGTGGGAATAAACCAGGCCTCTTACACTGCTGGACAGTCCTTCAGGATCTGCCCAGCAGCCTTTCTGACCTTCTTCCCGTGCCTTCAATTTGCTGCCCCCTCTCCCCGGCCACTGGCCTCAGGTGGGCCTGCACCCCACACTCCTCCCCACCTCTCTTCTGACCACCCTTTCACGGTATTGCTCATGCATCGCTTCCTCCAGGAAGCACCCTGTTCTTCCCAATCTGGGTGAAACGCTCTATATACGTGTAAGTGCCCCCACTTGGGTAGTTATTGGACCGTGTTGTGGGGACATTTGAATCCTGCTTCCTGGCTACCGGACCACAGTCAAGTTACTTCTAGTCTATGTGCCTCAGGTTCCTCATCTGTACAAAGGGGATAAAGTTAGCTCCTATCTCCTAGTCCCAGCCCACCTCAAGGCCTCTCCCTTCAAACCCGTGAGCCTGCAGGCTCTTTCTCCCACCCACCCCAATCTTCCCATGACGTTTAGGGAAGTCTGCTCCAAGGCCACCTGTTCAGAGAGGCCCCCTCCCCAGCAACAGTCCTATAACAGCATCATAAGACCTAAAAGTCCCAGTGCTGCCTTGACATCTTCAAGTCTCACAGGGCCCCAAAGGCCAAGTCATGAGTTCCTCTGGTCTCACCACATATGCCACCTACATAGCAAACAAGGATCCCCACTCAGCTGGCTTTCCCATCGGCCAGATCAGTTGCACACTGTCTAGTCTTCAACCAAATGGGTTTCAACTCCCTGCCACCCTGAAAATTATTCAAGCTAATCACATCCTCCCATAGAAACCACGGGTCATCTCGCCCTCTTGTCATTACAAAGCCTGCCTCCCATAAGCCCTGCTGGTTCATTCTACTCCCAAGGATAGGTCCCGACTGCAACCCCCATGTGGCCCTATGTGGCATGTACTGTCCCCCTCCCCTGGGCTATGAGCATACGTGACTAGTAAACAGCTGCCAATTTCAAACAGCTGTCCAGAATCAGGTGTCATATGTTTGGCCATCTTGCACGCTTTAGGGCAGACAATTCCGTCTTCAGCAATGGGGTGAACAGGTGGTCAGAACAAGCCCCCACTTCCCACCCCACCCCTCACCACTCCCTGCTTTATTTCCTGCCCACCAC